CAAAGAGGCAACCCATGGAATGGGAGAAGATATTCGCAAATGACACTACAAAGGGCTGATATTCAAGATTTATAAAGAGCTCTTCAAACTCAACATGCACTAAACAGATAATCACGTCAAAAAATGGGCAGAAGACATGAACAGACACTCTCCAAAGGAGACCTACAAATGGCTAACAGACACATCAAAAAATGTCCATCATCATTAGCCATCAGGGAGATTCAAATCAAAACCACATTGAGATACCACCTTACACTAATTAGAATGGCCAAAATTAACGAGACCGTAAACAACAAGTGTTCGTGAGGATGTGGAAAAAGGGGAACCCTCTTATATTGTTGGTGGGAATGCAAGTTGGTGCAGCTACTTTGGAAAACATTTTGGAGATTCCTTAAGAAATTAAAAATTGAGCTACCCTATGACCCTGCAGTTGCACTGCTGGATATTTACCCCAAAGATACAGATGTAGTAAACAGAAGGGCCATCTGTACCCCAATGTTCATAGCAGCAATGGCCACAGTTGCCAGACTGTAGAAAGAGCCAAGATGCCCTTCAGTGGATAAATGGATAAAGAAGATATGATCTTTATATACAATGGAGTATTATGCCTCTGTCAGAAAGGGTGAATACCCAACTTTTGTATCAACATGGATGGGACTGGAAGAGATTATGCTGAGTGAAATAAGTCAGGCAGAGAGAGTCAATTATCATATGGTTTCACTTACTTGTGGAGCTAAGGACCAACACGAAAGACACTGGGAGATGGAGAGGAGAAGTGAGTTGTGGGAAATCGGACAGGGAGACAAACCATGAGGGACTGTGGACTCTGAGATACAAACTGTTGGTTTTGGAGGGGAGGGGTAGGGATGGGTGAGCCTGGTGCTGGGTATTATGGTGGGCACGTATTGCACGGAGCACTGGGTGTGGTGCATAAACAATGAATTTTGAAACACTGAGAAAAGCATAAAATTAAATTTAAAAAAAAAGGCACTCACTTGACTTTAATTTCCTATTACCAGTTGTCTGTGTCAGTATATAGTCTCATTCACATAACTGGGTTGATTTAATTATACCTATTGAAAAGAGAATAATCACAAGACTATGTAGTAATATGTTGAAAGTCATAAGAGGTCAAAGTTTCATTTTTTTCAAACAGATTTTAATAAAATCATATATAAACTGGTCTTCTAAAGGGTTACAGCCTACCTATAAATTTTTAAAGACATTTTTAAATGGAAAAGAAAAAGGAGTTGCATAAAAATGTAAGTAAAATAACAGTGTATCAGGTACTGATATTGATGTGGTTCTAAAATTACATATTTTTATCCATTTTAAAATGTAAGTGAACAGTCTTAATGTGCAAATGGCTTTAATTCAGCTTTTTGTTATTGATTCATTAATGAAATAATGTGCTTGTCCCTGAAGGCATGATATGTAACTGATAATTTTCTACTATGAACCTAAACTAACTTTGTGCATAAATGTGTGTGTATTTTGGCTTAGAAGGTATCAACATCCTAATAGCAAATTTATAACTAAAAGGGGAACAAATTAATTTTTTGAAGTTTATCAGTACATAATTTTAGAGACTTAGAATGATATTCTTCCCCAAACTAGGCAAGCACATAATTTTGAAAATATTCTCCTTATATGAATTAACCCTGTTTTCTCTGTATTAGTTAATAAATTAATAAATATATTAATAAAGTAATAAAAATCAAATTATTTTGATTTTTTTGTTTGTTTGTTTGACTCAAACCTCTTATACCCAGAATTCCAGATTTGGAAGGATCCTTAAAAATTATCTAGTCTGATTGACCAAACTAATTTAATGGCTTAGTCGCAATTATAATGTGAACTCTGGACTCTAAGGTTTTTTGGTATTGATTCTTCTGTTTATTTATTTTTTAGGTGACTGCACTTCAAGATGAAAAGAATTCATTAGTTTCTGAGAATGAGATGATGAATGAAAAACTTGACCAGTTGGATGGCTCTTTTGATGATCCAAATACAATGGTTGCAAAAAAGTATTTTCATGCACAGTTACAGCTAGAACAATTACAGGAAGAAAACTTCAGGTAGCATTTTTAGTAAAAATACCTCCACAGAGTTCTGTAAAACTAGAGCTGTAAAATCCTATCAACAACTACTTATTAAGTATGCTGTAGCATCCTGGAGCTTTATAGCATGCTTAGGACACTAATCCAGCTCTGAAAATACCTAATGGTACAAGTGGTTCCTGCCTTCACAGGGCTTGCAAGCTAGGTAGGCAAGTGGGATATGTCTATAAAATCAAAACAATTCAAAATAACTTGTAATAAGGGCCAAATGAAGGCCATGTGCAAGTGCAATAGGAGTTAAAGGGAGTGACTGCTGAGGCCTGGGGAGAATGGGGCGTTTCTTCTGGAGGAGAGGGAACCTGATAATAAATGGAAAAAACGGAAATCTTAAGCTAAAAAAAATGCTTTCTCTTTTAACTTTTATGTTCCTTTTTTGGAAAAAAAAAAAAAGATGTTACACATCTTGCCTTTAATAAACATTGTCTCTTGTGTGCTTGCTGCTGAGCCTGGAGCTATAAGGCCTTGAGAGTAGGCACTCTAATTGCACTCTATGACTTTTTGTTCCTTCTTTTATTATAATATCAAACTTAAACACAAAAACAGTTGCAAGAATAGTGCAAAGAACTCCTTTATTCCTTTTACTCAGATTCCACAATTGTTTTGCATTTTTTCCCCATTTGCTATCACTCTACATGTTCTTATGGATTTGTGTATTTTTTTCTGAACCACTTGAGAGTAAGTTGGAGCCATGCACCTTTATCCCTATATGCTTTGGCATGTATTTCCTAAAACAAAAAGAACTCCCTTCTAAACCATAGTATAGTGATTAAAATTAGGGAATCTGTCATTGATACAATATTATTATCTAATCCATAGATCATATTCAAATTCGATTAGTTGTCTCATTGTCCTTTATGACTATTTTTTTTTTCCTGGTTCAGAATCCAATCCAGGATCATGCACTGCATTTATTAATGGATTCTAACTTAATGATCTATAAATCCATAGTTATCATCATTAATTTAATGGTGAAATTGTCCCAGATTTGACCACTGGGAACCCTTTGAGTTGGCCTCTGTGGCCTTTCAACCGGTTACTGTCCTTCGAGCACTTTCTTACTTTCGGGTGCAACAAAATATTCTAGACTCATCTCTTCTTTTTCCCACCCTGCAGTCAGCCATTTCTTTAAGGATCTCTAATTCCTTTTATGGACGGTGTTGTTTAGAAACAAAGATCTAGTGCTCCACATGAGTTTTTCTCTCATTGCTTGTAGGCCCCTTTAGTGTACAGAGCTAAGAAGTATACTTGCCAGTGTTCACATTTACACCTGCTTGTGTTCATATGCTTATATGTACACATGTCTGCATCGGTTTTTATGTCTCTCACTGTGAACAGTGAGCTCATTTTGATATCTTTCATTTCAGTTCTGTGTTTTCGTGGTTCATTCTGATCTTTTCCATTTCCATACTAGAAACCCCTTCTCCAGTGATGAGAAACCTGGCTCCCATTTTCCTCAATGTATTTACTCATATACTCAATCCCAAAACACATAGAAAGTAATTTAAGAATTGCTAACCTTACCTTTGTCTTAAGCAAACTATTAATAAGACTTCAGTATGTTTACAGTTCTTTTGCAAGGTAAGATTTACATATTAGAGATGAAAGTTCCTTTATGCTTTTTCTCAGTCAACACCTACCTCCCAGAGGCTAAGTACTCTTGTGATTATTTTTTACCATAGATGAGTTTTCTCTGATCTAGAATGTTACATTACTGAATCATGCTGTATGAACTCCTTGGTGACCGGCTTCCATTGCTCAGCATGTTTGTGAGCCTTCATCTATGTTTTGAATGTATCTGTAATTCATTATTTTTTATGGCTGAGTTGTATTCAAATATTTGGAATTATTCCACATTATACACACTTTTTTTAAATTTATTTTTTTTTAAAGATTTTGTTTATCTGACAGAGAGAGATCACAAGTAGGCAGAGAGGCGGGCGGGGGCGGGGGGGTTGGCGGGAAGCAGGCTCCCCGCTGAGCAGAGAGCAGGATGCAGTGCTCCATCCCAGGACCCTGAGATCACAACCTGAGCCGAAGGCAGAGGCTTAACCCACTGAACCACCCAGGCACCCCTATACACACTTTTTAGTTACCTATTTCCCTTTAGATGATGGGCATTTGGGTTTCCAGGTTTAAGTGAAACTAGTCTGAACATTGTAATACAAGACTTTTTGTAGACATATTTTTTCTTATTTCTCATTGGTAAATATATAGTGGAATTGCAGAGTTATATAGTAGTTCTGTGTTTAATTTAAAAGACACTGCCTAATGTGACCACACAGTGGTCATAACATTTTATCCTTCCATGAGCAGAGTTTGCTCTTGTTGTTCTGCCTGCATAGCATAATTCTTATCTTTTTAACTAAATAGTTCAGGAAGAGTGTAGTAGTATCTCCTTAGGGCTTTAATTGGCATTTTCCTGTTAACCAGTGATGTGATAAGCCCCTGTTCATGTGCTTATAGAAATATATCTTATGGGGCGCCTGGGTGGCTCAGTGGGTTAAAGCCTCTGCCTTCGGCTCAGGTCATGATCCCAGGGTCTTGGGATCAAGCCCGCATCGGGCTCTCTGCTCAGCGGGGAGCCTGCTTCCTCCTCTCTCTCTGCCTGCCTCTTCACCTACTCAAGATCTCTGTCTGTCAAATAAATAAATAAAATCTTTAAAAAAAATCTATCTATCTATATATCTATCTTACTTGGTGAGTTGTCTCTTCATAATGTTAACCTGTTTTTAAATTGGATTATTTGTCAATATCAATTAGTTGTAGGAATTTTTAAAAATCTGGATGCAAGTCCTTTGTCAAATATGTGTGTAGTAATATTTTTTTTTCACTCATTCTGTGGCTTGCATTTGCATTTTTTAAATGGTGTCTTTCAATGAGTAGAAGTTCTTAGATGAGGTCTACTTTATCGATATTTTTAATATTAGTGTTTTTGTGTACTGCCCAAGAAATCTTTGGCTACTTCCGTGCCATGAAGATACTCTCTATTGTTCTCTTCTAGAACCTTCACAGTGTTGTCTTTTACATGTGAGTCTATGGTCCATCTTGAATTGATTTTTTTTTTTATAAAAATAGTGTACGGTCAAACTTTATTTTTATTTTCCATATGGGTATTTAGTTGTTACAGTATCATCATTCAAAAGAATTTTAGTTTTACTCCACATTGCTTTGTACCTTTGTGAAAAAATGATATAGCCATAAAATTTGGGTCATTTTCTGGACTTTTTAATTCTTTTCCCTTTATCTGTTTGTCTTTATACCTATATGGTATGGTCTTGATTACTTTAGCTCTAGAATAAGCTTAAAATCAGGTAGTATATGTCTTCCAACTTTGCTCTTTCTTTTCAAAATTTGTTTTGGCTATTCCAAGTCTTCTGCATTTTCATTTAAAATTGAGAGCTAGTCAGTTTCTATTTAAAAAACCTTTCGTGATTATGATTTAGGTTATATAAAATTGATATCTTAACTATATTGAGAATTTCTATGAATATGGTATCTTCATTTATTTAAATCTTTAATTTGTCTCAGCAGTGTTGTGTTGTTTCCAGTGGAGAAGTCTTGTATGTGTTTTATTAAATTTATTCCCAAGTAGATGCTATTACATATGCAATTTAAGTTATTCTGAAAAGTGGCTGCAAATATGTACAAATTTTTTTTTATATATTGAAATTGATCTTTTATTTTGGAACTTTTATGTCTTATAAAGTTTCTTAGTTCACTTATTGATTCTAGTAATTTGTTTATGTAGAAAATCTAAGGCATCCTCAATCATCTCATCTATTAACAGAGCTTTACATCTTCCTTTTATTATTTCTGCCCTCTATTTGTTTTTCCTTAATTTAGCAAGAACAGACATCTTACTTTGTTCCAGGTCTTAGGGGGAAAACATTCAGTTAAGTACCATCAAGTATAATACTCACTGTAGAGTTTTCTAATGTGCTTTTTATCATTTTGGAGGAGTTCCCCTTTGTTTCTGGCTGCTGAGAGTTTTTATTATTAATTGGTATGATTTTTGACAAATGACTTTTCTATATCTTGAAATGACAGTGTAGTTTTTCTTTTTCATACTTTTATTATGATCATTTAATTTTTTGAATGTTGAACAATCTTATATTTCATGGTTAGATCAGTTTGGTCATACTTATTATTCTGCATATATATGACTGGATTTGGTTTGCTGATATGTTGAAAGAATTTTTTTGATTGTCTTCATATAGATATTGGTCTATAACTGTTTTTCTCTTGTAATATCTTTTTCAGGTTTTATTGTCAGAGTTCTTCTAGTCTCATAGAATAATTGGGAAGTATTCTCGCCTCTATTTTCTGAAAGAGTTTATGTAAGAATAATAATATTTATTCCTTAAATATTTGGTAGAATTTATCAGTAAAGCAATCGACCTATAGTTTTGAGAAAGGGCTTTTAATGACAAATACAGTTTTGTTAGTAGTCATAGGGCTTCTCAGGTTTTCTGTTCCATTTATGTCAGTTTGATAAGTTGTGCTTTTCAAGGTATATGTTTATTTCATTTAAGTTGTTGAATTTATTGGCATAAAGTTGTTCATAATATTCTCTTATGGTCCTTTTAATGACTGTGGGAGCTATATTGATATTCACTTTTTCATTCCTGATATCGGTAATTTGTGTTTTTTTCTCATTTTTCTTGGTCATTCTTACTAGGGTTTCATCAATTTTATTAATATTTTCAAATACTTTATTAGCTTTCCATATTACTAGTTTTAGATCTCTGTTCTTTCTTTCTATTTACTTACTTTGGATTTAATTTGCTGTTCTTTTCCTGGACTCTTAAGGTTGAAACTTGGATGATTGATTTCAAGCCTTTCTTCATTTCTAATATAAGCCTTTAAAACTGTAAATTTTCCTTTAAGCACTGGTTTAGCTGGGTCCCCAAAGTTTGACTGCCTGTCTTTCTGTTGTTATTCATTCTGAAATATTTTCTAATTTCCTTTGTGATAACTTCCTTGACTCGTGTGTTATTTAGAAATGTGTTGTTTTATTTCCAAGTTGAAGGCTTTTCTAGACTTCTTATTGTGGGCTAATTTCAAATTTAAGTCTCTTATGTTTAGAGAACATATTTCCCGAGATTTCGGTCTTTAGATACTTATTAATATTATTTTATTGCTCGGCATGTTTATTGTGATGACTGTTCCATCTGAACTTGCAGAGGATGTGTATTCTGTCATTTTTGACTGACATGTTCTATATGTGTCAAATCAAGTTGGTTAATAGTGTTGTTCAGAGTTCTTCTGTATTTTTACTGATATTTTTGTTTCTGTCATTTATTGGAGACTGGTATTAAAGAATGATTGTGGGTTTGTGGATTTCTGCCTTTGATTCTGTCAGTTTTTGCCTCATGTATTTTAAAGCTATTTTTAAGCATATACACATTTATGATATGGCTTTCTAATGATTTGACCCTTTTATATTTGTGAAATATCTCTATCTTTAATAATACTCTTGTCTAAAAATTTATTTTGTTTGATGCCAACATAACCACCCCAGTTTCTTTTGCTTACTATTTGCATGGTGTTTTTAAAAATCTTTTTAATCTATCTGTGCCTTTGTATTTATTTATTTTTTTTTAAAGATTTTATTTATTTATTTGACAGAGAGAGATCACAAGTAGATGAAGAGGCAGGCAGAGAGAGAGAGAGGGAAGCAGGCACCCTGCTGAGCAGAGAGCCCGATGCGGGACTCCATCCCAGGGACCCGAGATCATGACCTGAGCCAAAGGCAGCGGCTTAACCCACTGAGCCACCCAGGCACCCCTGTGCCTTTATATTTGAACCATCTCTTGTTATTAGCATATATTTGAGCCTTGCTTTGTTATCTAGTCTGATGGTTTCTGCCTTTTTAATTGGTGCGTAGTCTTTCCCTTTTACGTAATTTTGTTATGGTTATATTTAGGTCTGTCAGTTTGCTGTTTTTCATTTGTCATATCCTTTTGTTTTTTCTGCATTCCATTGGGTAAATTAAATACTTGTTTAAATATTTGACTTTATTTACTATATTGTCTTTTTTTACTTTTTATTGTTGCTATAGAGTTTAAGTATTTATCCTTAATTTATTATAGTCTACTTAGAGTTACTATTTTACCACTTCTCATGTGATATATATTTTTGAGTAATTTTAATAAATATTTATATATTTTCTCTTCATCTTTTGAGATATTAAAACTCTTACTAGAGTTAGAGATAATGAAGCACAGTGTTTCAGAAGTGAAAATAAAAATTCAGAACAATAAGTTTATTCTCAGCCAGTTTCAAATCCAGGAGCTGAAAGTGTCTTAATCCTTTAGCCTTTCTGTTGAGTGTGGAATTTAAAAAAAATTTTTTAAAGTATGCCTTGCTAAGCACATGTCTCAGTAAGAAAACAAATGATGAAAATCACATTATAAGTACTTGTTTTCTTTACTCAAGGCTTGAAGCTGCAAAGGATGATTACCGTGTTCACTGTGAAGAACTTGAAAAGCAACTAATTGAATTTCAGCATAGGAATGATGAACTGACTAGTCTTGCTGAAGAAACAAGAGCCCTGAAAGATGAAATAGATGTTCTTAGGTATGGCATGTCTAAATATAATGATGTCGCTTCTAAGTTATTCGTTAGTCATTTTGGTATTCCACAGTCTAATCAGGGATTCTTAGGGTGATTCCTGTGTATCAAGTACTGATCAGTTTTTATCCAGGCTCTTAGTCTTTACTTATTTTATGCTTGTTGATGGTAATTGCAGTTTAAGGATAATATTCAATTATTTTAGCACAATTTTTTTTTTTTTTAAAGAGAGGGAGGATGGGGGAGGGCAGGAGTAGAGGGAGAGGGAGAGAGAGAATTCCAAGTAGGCTCCACTCTTAGCGCAGACCCAGACACGGGGTCCAGTCTCACAACCCTGAGATCCTGACCCGACCTAAAATCGAGAGTCGAACACACCCAACCAACTGAGCCACCTGTGGTAGCACAATTTCATGTTAAAATTCATAAACCCAAAATGATACCTTTTTCTTAAAACTGTGTAAGCTGGGAATCACCTTTAGATACATTTAGCTTGACCTCCTTGTACTCATTAGTGTATCTTGTGAACTTTTTACATAAGGGAAAGCATTCTCAATCCATGTTTTGGCATTTGATATAAAATAGGTATAGGTAAGTATCTTAATATTTATTTCAGGGTTATCCCAAGGTTCTCTTATTCTCTTTGACAATATATAAAATTTTTATTTGGCTTTTGCCTATGGAATGTTAATCAAGCAAATAGACTATCTATATACTCATTATATTTTCTGTTAAATTTTCTTAATGGGCCATTTTGTTGCACAGTTTTTCTGTCCATTTGAAATAAAAATATTTATACCCATTCGTTTGAACCTGCATGTTATGGAAAGTGATTTGGTTTATGTATTTACTTTTGCTCTAGCGCAGTTGGTCAGGTAGATACAACTCTAAAGCAAAGTGCTTTGTCAGACAAATTGTAAGTTGAGTCAACATCCTAAATGTATCAAATACTTACTAAATGCTAGACACAAAGCAAAATTGGCCTATAAGCTACAGAGGAGCCTAGAATTGTTCAGTTGCATTTGTAAAACCATTCTTTTTACACATTGTGCTGTATGAAACAGTTTGATAATTTAGTGTGCCAAATTCAAGACATTTTTGTTTTGATACCTTTGCAACAAGAAGGTTCAATGATGGATTTTAGTCTTTTTCCAAAGTTCCCACAAAGTTTATTTCTTTTGTCTTTTTCATTTTCTTTCTTTCTTCATTCCTTTTTTTTCCTTGTTTCAGCCAATTGATTGTTTATCTGGTTGACTAATTTTACAGATAGAATAAAATTTCTTTATGCATTTACTGGTTCTTACCCAGTAATGTGCAGTCTTTATTATTGTAGGGCCACCTCTGATAAAGCAAATAAACTAGAGTCAACAGTCGAGATATATCGTCAGAAACTACAAGATCTGAACGACCTTCGCAAGCAGGTTAAAACTTTACAAGAAACAAACATGATGTATATGCATAATACAGTCAGCTTAGAAGAAGAATTGAAGAAGGCAAATGCAGCACGTACACAGTTAGAAACATACAAGAGGCAGGTAAGAAAATATCTTAATTTTTTTTTTTAAGATTTTATTTATTTATTTGACAGAGAGAGACACAGCGAGAGAGGGAACACAAGCAGGGGAAGTGGGAGAAGGAGAAGCAGGTTTCCCACTGAGCCCAATGCGGGGCTTAAACCCAGGACTCTGGAATCATGATCTGAGCCAAAGGCAGACACCCAACGACTGAGCCACCCAGGCACCCCAGAAAATATCTTAATTTTTTAAATAAAATCAAAAGAGCTCAACTTTCTTTTGATTCCTTTTGATACTTTCAGAATGATAGAGATTTGAAGAAACATTGCCTATAGTTGGCTGTGAACTTATGATAGATTTCTTCTACCTGGAATTTTAATTCCAGGGTTGATAATTGAATTTAAGTTATCTAGGTCTTTCCCTTTTTACTATCTTCTGAGCTTATATATATTTTTGGGCATTTTATTGCTTATTGACATTTCTGGTAACCAGTAGTAATTGCCTAGAGAATGGAGCTATAACTGGTGATACTCTGTTTTGCTACTTATCTGGCAACCTGGAGAAACATTGGAATAGAAGACTGATTTTTTTTTTTTTTTTTTACTGAATTATTATTTGGGTATTTTAAAATTTAGGCTCTTATTTACATGCTATTTCCACAACTATTTAGGGTTACTTATTATATTCTTATTATAGATTTTATTTCCAATCAGTTTCTTATTGTTTAAACTCTAAAAACTATTAATATTATATATTTTTGTTATCTACTTTTGTTTCTGACAAAAGGTTCAAGATCTTCACAATAAACTTTCCTCTGAATCCAAAAGGGCAGATACACTAGCATTTGAAATGAAGCGGCTTGAAGAAAAACATGAAGCTTTACTTAAGGAAAAAGAGGTACACATGAATATAATTGATGAGTAATATGTCTGTCTTCTCTTTTAGTGTTTAATATTATCCTTGCTGTTCTAAGAATGGAAGTCATGTAAATCAAATCTTCCGTCTTACTCCCAATCCAAGTGTTGCTGTAGAAGAAAGTAGTAGAAATTTACTATGCAGTGTTGTTATTCCTTCACAAGGGAAGATGAAGTCACAGAGGCAAGGCCATATGTCTCATTGCATGTTTTCCCATTCTAGACCATCGGCTTCTTGAGAGCAAGGGCCATAGATTTTATTTTTTAGTGGCTTTATTGAGATATAATTTATATACCATAAATTTCACCCACTTGAAGTGCACGATTCAGTGGTTGTTAGTGTATTCTCTGTTGTGCAGCCCTCACCACAGGCACATTTTAGCACTGTCATCACCTCGTTAGTGTGCGTACTGGCAGCTGCCCTGCATTCTGGCTCCCCTCCCCTCGGCCTTTGCAACCATTAATCTACTTTCTGTCTCTGAAGATTTGCCCAGTCTGTCCAGAATATGTCATCCTACACGGTGTCTGTTTTGTGACTAGATGCCTTCACGTAGCTTTAATGCTTTCAAAGTTCATCCATGTCATAGCATGAATCAGTACTTTGTTTTAATGCTGAATGATACTCCATTCTATAGACATACCACATTTTATTTATCCATTCATCATTTTATGGACATTTGGGCTATTAAACAAATAATGTGGTTATGAACATTTATTTACAAATTTTTATGTAGACATGTATTTTCATTTGAGTACATACCTAGGCATGGTACTGCTGGTCATATGGTAACTATGTTTAACCTTTCAAGGAGCTACCATGCTGTTTTCTAAAGTAGGTGAACCATTTTTCATTCTCAGGAATTTCTAAAGGTTTTTAATTTCTGCATATCCTTGCCAACACTTATCAGACTTTTAATTTTAGCTATCCTAGTGAGTATGAAGTGATATGTTATTGTGGTTTTGACTAATGACTAATGATGTTGAGCATCTTTTCATGTACTTATTGGCCATTTGTATGTCTTCCCTGGAGATATGTCTCTTCAAAGCCCATACTCATGTTTTATCTAGGTTATTTGCTTTTTTATTGAATTGTAAGAGCTCCTTATAGATTCTGGATATAAGTTCCTTCTCAAATATATGATTTGAAAATATGTTCTTTTATTTTTTGTTTTCTAATTTTTTTGGTGGTGCTGTTTGCCATGGAATGGTTTCTCATTTGATGAAATTAGTTACCTATTTTTTCTTTCCTTGTTTATGCTTTTTTGGCTGTATTTCTGTGAAGGCACTGAGTAATATGAGGTTACAAAGATTTATGCTTATGTTTTCTTTTAATTTTACAGTTTCTGTGAACAATTTTGAATTAATTTTTGTAAATGATGTAAGATAGGGGTCCAACTTCATTCTTTTGTGTGTGGCTATTCAGTTGTCCCAGAACTATTTGTTGACAAGATTATTCTTTCCCTATTATTGTCTTGATACCTTTGTTGAAAATCAATTGGCCATGATACTGTAATGATGGATACATTATACATTTGTCAGAACCCACAAAAGTAAAATAGAGGGAACCCTGATGTCCTTTAGTTAATAATAGTGTATCGGTACTGGCTCATCAGTTCTTTTTTGTTGGTTTGATTTATTGTGTTATGTTAGTCACCATACAGTACATCACTGGTTTTTGATGGAGTGTTCCATGATGAATTATTTGCGTATAACACCCAGTGCTCCATCCAATCCGTGCCCTCCTTAATACCCATCATGAAGATCACAGTTCTTCAAGTAACCACTAACTTTACCTCACTCATTACTCAAGACACTTCTGCAAGGTTATGTATCTGCATTTCCATTTTGGTAATGTGGATACTAAAGCCAAAAAGTCAAATAACTCACCATAGGTGATATAATAACTAGTAAATAATGAAACTGGAGTTCAAGCCATGATCTATTTGCCTCTAAAGTCCATGCTTTTTTTTTTTTTAAATTCTGCTATTGCACATTTGTACTCCATTGCGTAATTATATCAGTTTGGTTCAAATAAATTATCTAATGGGGAAATCACAAGATTTATGTTGTATAAAGATTATGGGATTTATGTAAGAGAAAATTACCTCTTAGCATGAAAACTAAAACATTGTCCCTTTTAAGTAACTAAGCAACAATTATGAAATTAAGATAAATTATTATAAGCATAAAGTACATTTCTGGTGGGCAGAATTAAATATTTCGCTCATATAAACACTTCTTTTTTAGAGACTAATAGAGCAACGTGATACTCTGAAAGAAACGAATGAAGAACTTCGATGTTCACAAGTACAACGAGATCACCTAAACCAAACAGGTGAATTTTGCCGGATTTAGAAAAGTTTTTTTTAATGGTAGAAATACTGAAATGTTAATCATTTGTTGTTGTTATTTAGATGCATCTGCTACAAAGAGTTATGAGAATCTTGCTGCTGAGATTATGCCAGTGGAATATAGGTAAATTTGTTTTTATTAATTAATAATCTGTACTTAATATTAGAAATATTTCTTCTTTAAAAAAATTATTAGCCTTCAGGATGTTCCATTTTATTAGTCATGGAGTTCAAAACTACTTTGTCTCATCTACTTGAACTTCTTAGACTGTTACTGCTACTACAGTAGTTTTAGAATTTATTAGAAGTAAAATTTCACAAACTACATGAATAAAATATTCTAGTTTTTATAATATGACTTTTATTGTGTTGAACTTCTTTTCCTACCTCTAAACTCAATGGAAAACCTTTTTTACACCTGGCATCAAATCCACGTGGGTTAAACAAGTAGGAGAAGAGCTGTCAATAATAGCAGAAGGATTATGCTGAAGTTAAATAAAATACAAATTTTAGAATCTCTTAACCAACTTTTATCGTGGTATTTTACTGCTATGTCTGCTTCTAGGTATTTTTATGGTTTTCCTTTCCTTTTTGTGGTAACAGTTTTATTTAATACTTCAGACTCTCTTTCCTTAAGCAGATTTATTGAGATTCAGTTCACCCATTTAAAACCGTATGGCTCAGTGGTGTTTAGCGTAGTCATGGAGTTGTGCAGCCATCTAATTAGAGAACATTCCATTCCCCCCAAAAGATATCCTGTGCCTCTTAGTAGTCATTCCTCGGTCCTGCCTCCCCTCAGGCTCCAGCACCAGGCAGCGGAGAATCAACTCTGTTATGGAATTTAACATATGTGAGTCCTACAATAGGTGGCCTTTTGTGACTGCTTTCACTCAGGATACAGTTTGCAAATATGTTAATTTTCATTCTGTTAGATTTTTTGTTGTTAAGACAGAGCTCTTTACATGCTGGACTGGAGAGCAACTTTTTAAAAGTCGTTAATACCCAGTGATATTAATATCACTTTAAAAATAGCTGTATGAAAAAAAAAAGCCATAATATGAGCCTGTATTTTAAAGTCATGATGTTGCCATTCAGAAGAACACAAATTGAGATTAATTAAAATTAGTTGCTTTTAAGAAATTACATTTAAGGAGGCAGCAGGTAGGAGAACATTACTTTTCTATTTAATATCATTTCTCTTGTTTGCATTTTAAAAAATGTGTATTTGTAAACTTTTAACAAAAATTGTTTTCTGAAAGCAAAAAAACCTAGGTGCAGTAATATGACTGTCATAAGAATATATTTAAAAAATATTAAGCAGAGGTGCCTGGGTAGCTCAGTGGGTTAAAGCCTCTGCCTTCGGCTCAGGTCATGATCCCAGCATCCTGGGATTGAGCCCCGCATCGGGCTCTCCGCTCAGCAGGGAGCCTGCTTCCCCCACACTCTCTCTGCCTGCCTCTCTGCCTACTTGTGACCTCTATCTGATAAATAAATAGAATCTTAAAAAAAAAAATAGTAAGCAAACTGATTTCTTAAATCCATTGCTTTTAATATATATGTTTTCTGAAGATATGCTATAGTGAATAGCAGCTAAGTTACCAGTAAAATAACTCCTGTTTCTTTTGGGATTTGCATAATATTTAATGATACATAATATAATATATAATATAATACTTTTGCTTTGAAAAATTTATTACTTGTTTTTTGAGACAGACTTACAGTGTATGTAGTTTTCTTTTAAAAAATTTCAGGAGCATTGGTGGCATTTTTAAATGACAGCTACTGCATGAACAGGAATTCTCTTAAAGTTAAGAATGTAAAAAAATGTAAAATGTACATTTAAAAAATTTAAAAACAAACTTTGCTCTTCAACATCAGGGAAGTGTTTATTCGACTGCAACATGAAAATAAGATGCTCCGCTTACAACAGGAAGGTACTGAGAACGAGCGTATTGAGGAACTTCAGGAACAGCTGGAACAGAAGCACCGCAAGATGAACGAACTGGAAACCGAGCAAAGGTGAAACGCTTTGTAATTTCGTTAGCTAGCCATGAAATCTGGTCTCACAGAAGTGGGAGAGGTCATTGTAGTTAAAATAAGTAGGATTTAGGTGGAGGAGGGGCAAGATGGAAGAGAAGTAGGTGACCCTGTTTCAACTGGTCCCCTAAAGTGAGCTAAATATCTACTAGAACACTCTGAACACCCATGAAATCAGCCTGAGATGTAGGATTGTACACTTCTGGATCTCTACAGGGGCAGAAGACACCAGTGGAGAGGTAAAGCAGAGTAGGAATGCTTGGACTGATACCAGAGGATAAGCAGAAGGGGGAGGGAGCCACCAGAAGCAACACTTTGGAAAGTAATACCCCAATACGAGAGTGCCCTGTGGTGGGGGGGGCCAGCATTAATTTGCAGTCTGGTTGAAGGCACTCAAAAAGAGCAAAAGAGCCTAAGGAGTAACTGGTGGAATTGGGTGGTCATGGGCATGGGCCTAAGCCCACGAACCCAAGATGGCCACCACCGGCGACCACGCCGGAGAAAGTGTGGCGGAGCCTCCTTGGTCCCTGAGCTCATGGCTTTTGGCTGCTTGTACCACCGCTGGACTGGGTGCACTGCCGCCTGCACGTGAGAGAGTCTGGTGTGGGCACCCACCGACACTTGCTAGGTCCACAACCTTCTGCGCTCTGCACACCCTACATGACCGCTGGTTGTGAGCACACTCCCCGCACCCCCTGTGCCTGAGAGAGCTTGGTGTGGGTGCCAGCCAGCACTCTTTAGGACCCTGGCCTCCTGCTCCTGGCCAAGGGTCTGAACACTCCCAACCTGCCCATAAGAGAATCCAGCACGATCCCTCTGCTGTAGCAGTCTCCTGTGACCTGTGCAACCGTGAGGTCTGGACCCCAGACAGCAGTCCCGGCAAAGGCAGTCACCAGAAGCGGGCTGCCTGGACCAATATTGCTCATGGTTTTAGTGGCACAGGGGTGCAGAGACAAGCAGGTGCTTCAGGTGACCCCTGAGACGGTGGGTGGGGGTGTGCATCACCTGTGGGAGGTCACACAGCTCAGTGGAGTTTGCAGAAGGGGAGTCTCTGTGTTCTGGACCACCCAGAGGGGAGCAGACTGAGGCTTCTCTCTGAGACAGAGGTCTGGGTGCAGTTTGCTTTCCACTAAACCTCCGAAAAGCAAAAAGACCCCGAAGAACAAAAACCTCCATAGAACAAAAGCCTGAAAAACGGGTTTCCACAGAGCCCAGCCCCTTGATAGGGGGCAGGATGACTCAACCCTGGCAAGACTGACTGAAAAACAATGGGCAGGTCCCTCCCCCAGAAGGCAAGCCAAAAGAACGAGAGGACAACTACCAAAAGGTCCCCATAAAACTGTAAAGCCCCAACATTAGGGGAAAACAATATATTAAGTTCCTGGTATTGCCCTAATACCTGTATATTTCATAAATACAACTTTTTTTTTTTCTCATGATTCTTGTTCTTTTTAATTTTTTTAACCTACTTACCATTACAACTAGAGGTTTAATACAACATATTCCATAATAACATTTTAACTTGAACTTTTCTCATACATATACCTGTTTTTATTTTTCTAAATATACATACAGCTATAAGCTTCAAGGTAATCCTCTTTCCCTAATCAATACTACCCCTATATATAAACGAGTATTATTCTCCCTTTATCTCTGAGAAGGTGAGTCCTTTAACAAGGATATCAAGGTACACCCAGGAAGAATCAAAATAACCTTCCCCGCCCACATCGAGGATTTATAACCACCCTCCCATCTTCTTCTTCTGTCAGTGTTTCTGTGTATTCGTTTTTGTTCTGGTGTTATATAAATCTCATCCTTGGGGTTCATTTTGGCTGGGTTCTTTTTTTTCCCTTGTCATTAACTTTTGTCAGTCTTTTTGTTTGTTTCTGTTTGTATACCTTATAAATCCTACTTTGGGGGTTCTTTTTTTTCCTCTCTCTCTCTTTCTCTTTTTATCTTTTTCCTTTCTTTTTGGTGGTGACTTCCAATTGCTCCAAAACTTTCCAGGATGCACCTTGCCTGGATCGTGGTTGATATATTCAGCTGTACATCCCCTCAACCACCTCTCACCAAAATGACTAGGAGGAGGAACACCCAACAGAAGAAAAATTCAGAGACTGTGCCCTCCCGATCAGAACTATTGGATATGGACATAAATAATATGTCAGAAAGGGAATTCAGCGTAACAATTATCTAGGCAATGGCTAGGTTAGAGAAAACCATTGATGACAATGTAGAATCTCTAAAGGTGGAAGTGACAGCTGACCTGGAAGAAGTTAAAAATGCTATCAATGAGATCCAATCTAATCTAAATACTCTTAACAGCTAGGGTTACCAAGGAGAAGATAGAATTAGTGATCTAGGGGACAAAATGATAGAGAAAAAGGATCTGGAGGAGGAATGGAACAAACAGCTTAGAAGCCATGAAAACAGAATTAGGAAAATGAATGATGCCATGAAACGTTCCAACGTCAGAATTATTGGGATCCCTGCGGGGGTGGAAAAAGACAGAAGACTAGAAGATATAGTTGAACAAATTCTGGATGAAAATTTTCCCAATCTGGGGAACGGAACAAGCATTCATGTTCTAGCTGCAGAAAGAACACCCACCAAGATCAATGAATCTAGAAAGACCTCAAGGCACTTAAGTGTGAAACTCATGAATCATAATTTTAGACAAGAGCTCCTGAGGCAGCTAGGGGGAAGAGATTCTTAATGTACAGAGAAAGGTCCATCAGAATAATGTCAGACCTCTCCACAGAAACCTGGCAAGCCAGAAAGGGCTGGCAAGACATATTCAGGGCACTAAATGAAAGAGCATGCAACCAAGAATACTTTATCCAGCAAGGCTGACATTCAAAATGGATGGAGAGATAAACAGCTTCCAAGACTGGCAAGGTTTAAAAGAGTATGTGACCACCAAGCCAGCACTACAAGACATATTAAGGGGGGATTCTATAAAAGAAGAAAGAACCCAAGAGTGAAATAGACCAGAAATTTACAGAGACAGTCTTCAAAAAAAGGACTTCACAGGCAACATGATGTCAATAAAAATATATCCTTAAATAATCACTCTCAAAGTGAACGGCCTAACTGCTTCCATAAAATGGCACAAGATTGCAGATTGGATAAAATGACAGGACATGTCTATATGCTGTCTATAAGAGGCACATTTGGAACCTAAAGATACAACCAGACTGAAAGTGAAGGGATGGAGAAACATCTTTCATGCCAACGGGCCTGAAAAGAAAGCTGGGGTAGTGATTCTCATATCAGATAAATTAGATTTTAAGCTAAAGACTCTATGGAATCAAGAGATAGAGAAGGACACTGCATCATACTTAAAGGGTCAATCCACCCAGAAGATCTAACAATTGTAAATATTTATGCCCCCAATATGGGAGCAGCCAACTACCTAAGCCAACTATTAACCAAAATAAAAAATCATATTGATATGAATACATTAATAGTAGGGGATCTTAACATGCCAGTCTCAGTAATCATCCAAGCAGAATATCAATAAACAAGAGCTTTGAATGACACATTGGACCAGATGGACCTCATAGATATATACAGAACATTCTACCCTAAAACGACAGAATACTCATTCTTCTCAAGTGCACATAGAACTTTCTCCAGAAGAGACCACATACTGGGTCACAAATCAGGGCTTAAAACTATACCAAAAAACAGAGATTATTCCCTGCATATTCTCAGACCACAATGAAAATGGAACTCAACCACAAGAAAAAGTTTGGAAGGAATTCAAACACTCGGAAGCTAAGGACCACCCTGCTTAAGAATGTTTGGATCAACCAGGAAATCAAAGAAGAACTTAAACAATTCATTTAAACCAATGAGAATGAAGATACTTCAGTCTAATACCTATGGGAAACAACAAAGGCAGTCCTAAGGGGGAAATACATAGCCATCCAAGCCTCCATCAAAAAAATAAAAAAGTCCAGAACGCACAAGCTCTCTTTACACCTTAAAGAACTGGAAAACTAACAACAGATTAAGCCAACCCCATGCACAAGAAGGGAAATAATCAAGATTAGAGCAGAGATCATTGAGATAGAAACTAGAGACAGTAGAACACATCAATGAAACTAGAAGTTGATTCTTTGAAAGAATCAATAAACTCGATAAACCACTGGCCAAATTAATCCAAAAGAAAAGAGAGAAGACCCAAGTTAATAAAATCATGAATAAAAGGGGAGAGATCACAACTAATGCCAAGGAAGTAGAAACAATCATCAGAAATTGTTATAAGGGACACCTCGGTGGCTCAGTGGGTTAAAGCCTCTGTGTTCAGCTCAGGTCATGATCCCAGGGTCCTGGGATCAAGCCCCACATCGGGCTCTCGGCTCAGCAGGGAGCCTGCTTCCTCCACTCTCTCTGCCTCTATCTCTGCCTACTTGTGATCTCTGTCTGTCAAATAAATAAAGAAAATCTTAAAAAAATGGTTATCAACAGTTATATGCCTGTGAGTTAAGCAACCTAGAAAAAATGGATGCATTCCTGGAAACCTATGCACATCCAATACTGAATCAGGAAGAAATTGACAACCTGAATAGACCAATATCTAGGAATGAGATTGAAGGCAGTGATCAGAAACCTCCCAAAAAACAAGAGCCCAGGACCTGATGGATTCCCTGGGGAATTCTACCAAACATTCAAAGAAGAAATAATACC